TCTGTAGTCTATTAATTTAAAGCTGAGTGTTTAAGTTAATAGGTTATCATTCATGCAAAACAGTTGTCACCACTATCGATTCTCTAATTACGTAGTAATAATTGTATTTTTTATCCGGTCAGACAAATGTATTCACTAACAACATATCCAAACATACCCTTTTTAAGCGACGAAGTGTATTCCAAATTTTCCCCACGCTGTACTATAAAACAAATGTAAACAAGTTCACTGATTAACAAGAAGGGTGAAGTAATACATAAACACTAGTGAATTTACAGTCAAGCTTTGAGTAGAAAAAGCCTAGAACCTAGATTATGAAAATAACCTGAAGTATACAGATAAAAACTGAACCTACTCAATGATTTTAATGGTTAAACCGTTATTCTGCTCTCCATTCACTATGTAAGTATAAGAAATAGGGGTATGGATGCGGGAGTCTTAGTATTCAATGCCCAACGTCACTTATATTTCTCTTTTCCCTCGAGATACTATAGGAAGATGTAAACCGTAGACTAGTAAACCAATAAATGGGTTTTATTCACCATTGGACAGAGATTGCAATTGTCTCAGTATAGAGAATTATTGTTACAATGTAATGTTTGGGTGGACAGTTTCGTATTCTTATTGCTAGCGGTGTTTGTGTCATTGGCTTAATCTCTTTTACGTTGCCTTACCTTGGATAGTATCACTAGTAATCACTTAAATTTGAGTATGAAAATCTGTATTTGGCTACCGAGCCGAGAACCCAGTTGTTACGTCGACATTTAACCTTCATACCTAGCAAATTACGGTTACTGATTTTTGACTAAATACTAGATACTTTGCCACAATATTTCTTCAACTCATCATGTGTAAATTCATGTGCCCATTTCTGAATGGAAATGTTTGTGTGAGAGCAGCCATTGTAATCATCAATTACGAACCACTTTCGTAGGTTTATCATCCAAACTATGTGCACAACAATAAAAATAAGTAAACACTAACTTCAGAAACTATGTCTAAAAATCATTCATGTTCATTGATCGGTGACATTTACCGGTAACTGATGTAGAAAAGTAAAACAATCTATCCTCATATTGGTTACAAGGTGTGTGCTTACACATAGCTAAATAGTGTAATCAATGATTATGTACGTAATTCTTATCTTAATTGTCATACTGACGTGGTTAGAGGCTAGCTCAAATAAAAATTACGGAATTTTTTTGAAAAACGTGATTTGTTGTGGTCCCAATGTTTTATTATTTGACTGATAAAGCTTTATACGAACTCCTGAATGAGGAAACTGATCAAACAAATTGATAGTTACAGAATTTACTTCATTCAGTCAGCCGAACAGCTGATGGTATTTACACTGAGCAAATACTAGGAGGAAGAAAAACTGGCCACTACCAACTGATTATTGAATAGATACGTGCACGTACAAAATGCGCTACATGAGATTCGTAAAATTTGTTATTACGCATAAAATTAATGTTAAGCAAAACGTAACTATGAATAAATGAATGAACCATTGATAATGCCTACAAGTAATAAGCTGAACTTCTAACTATGATGTCAATAAATTTTTCGAAATACTAGTCCAGAAATTTCTGAATGGTGACAGACTATATAAAATATAGTATTTTATCAGATAAATTTAATTATTTCCAATACCAATACAGACTATAGGACAACACTGAAATTCTTCACTTTGGCACAAAGGAAAATGAAATCATAAAGTTTACAGTCAGTCAGTCAGTCAGTAACAACGTGGAACTTCGTACGTACGTACATCAGCTCCACGTTTACAAGTTATGAACAGGCTACTAGCAGTATAAAACTTCGCAAGAATTCAAAAAATTTGATAATAGCTCCGTGTATCTAGACATCTTTCTATGATGGTCCAAAACATATTACTGAATACAAAAGGGTTTATGGAGAAACACTTCCAAGACAATTACTTTGAAATATAGTAACACTGTGGATAACAGTCTTATATTAATGCGAAAATTGCCAAAATGATCACACATTTAACACAAAGGATTAAATTATCGCATGAAAATACTAGTTGGAAAGATATGACAACGACAAGTAGAATGAACAATATTTAACAGTTAATATTTACCAATTATATTGACTTTTTTAGGAATGTTCATCATCTTTGACTGCTAAACTAGTCCAGTAGAAAGTTGTGATAGTCATCCTACGAAGTAGAAAAACGTTTATGAGATACAACACAGCCTTTAAAAAAGGATGGAAAACTGCCAAGAAAATTCAGTTTCCACTTAGGCTCTCTCGTGAAAAAAAAACTATAATTTATATATGATCAAAAGCCCCCAAATGCCCTGGTACGGTCGAGAGTGAGGAGAGTCCGCTCTCCCTCTCGAAATGCTCTCACATGGCCACGCGTATATAGCCTCTGCCAGGGAAGTCCTACTCACTGTCTTCTCGTGGCGGGGGTGTTGTTTACGAAAATGAGAGGACGAAAAGCGAATGTCCTGCGCTTTAACCGGATCCCAAACCAATGGTGCACATGGGCTCCAGTATCCTCCGGGAACAAATGGCGTATGAACCAATCGTTTATCACCGGCTACCATGGGACTGCATCTCCTTACGATGCTCCACTGCCTTGTGGGTCGGACGTTCAGGTCGAAGGCTCGGGGTGTGGCCTCCTAAGAAAACCACCTACTTCGGTTTGGGCACCCGGGCAGTATCATAGCCCACACACATATCAAATGAGATTTGTGTGGCACATATGTATTTGGTGCCTCCTTGTACTAATATCTATGTGTTAAAATAAAAATAAATAAATTAAATATGATCGAAAATGTCATCTTGTAAGAAGATCTATACCTATTTGATTTATCTCTTGACTCGCTCCTCATACTGGAAGACCTAAAATTCGCTTGTTTTATATATTTATTTAAAAGCCAACAGGGATGAAATATCAAACATGTGAATTTAAATAGAGGAAATAAATCACTTAGCATGTTGAGAAACATTGAGATAACTGAGACATGTATTATACACACTAAACTGCTGCCTAGGAGGATGCTCTATGTTAGCTGGAAAGAAATGAACCTTCCATTCTCTCATCCTTTGTTTACTGCAATTAATATTGGTTCTACTCCATATTTTATCATGTTGATTTTCTCTATTGATGTGTTATGTGGTATATCAAACTGGATCGAAGCATACTAGTGTCAGTTCCAACGATGTCCATGACTGGTTTTTCGACCCTTACAAAATGTTAGATCAATGCTCTAAGTTAATCCTTCAATTTATTAGATGTCTGTCAGACCTATGTGAAATGCTATCAGCTCACTGGCTAGAGCTTAGTGATGTTAAAAAAAACTAGGGTGCGTCTACACCAACACTTATTTTGAATAAAAAACAACTAATTAACTGATCAACTCGCCACACTCTCTCCAACAGATTTTTCTGGAGCTATTAACACTGTTTACTTTTTTGATAACGTCATTTTAGAATGTATCAACTTGAACAAATACAACCTAGCTTAAGCTACCATATTCTTTCGAATTTGAAGGCAAGAAAAACTCAAAACTGACAAACGTAACGCAGTGATGAAGTTTACGTGTGACAGACGTTAAGACGAATCTTGATACAGTACAGTAATTCAATGCAAATTAGTGAGTTTTGTTTTGAGTATCATCATCAAGACACTTCATAAACCATTGCACCAAGATTTTCAGCTAATAAATTTGGCAGCTACTGGTGAAATTATTGACATTTCTACGGGAACATCAACACAAAATAGTACGAAGATCTAAGGAACAAAAATTTGGAATATATCTGGAAGTTTTCCAAAAAACGGGAGTACATCAGCAAGAAAAACACTAACAAAATCACCTAGGTTTACATTTTCCAGTTTTACGCAGACAGCGATAGAGAGTATTAGAATTAAACCATGGCTTTGTATAGTGTAGTACCTTCTGGATAGAGAAAAAAGTCACTTCTAGTCAATAAAAACGCCAAGTAGATGAGATCAATAGAAAGAATTAGGCTGAGCAAATAAATCGTAATCCGTGATAATTATAAGTTGGATAACGATAAAATAAAAAGTTATAAGTAACCAATTTCAGATATAAAAGGGAAGTTTAGCCACAAACCAATTAACTGTCAATGACACAAACTGTTAACAAACCATCGCAACGCCAAAACTTGAAATGACCGCTACAACAATCCGGTAATCAATTCCTCAGTCACAGACTTTCATAAACCAATTGATTTACTCTCTTAGAACACTCTATATTGATGTGTCTGGGCGTACTTGGAATGTTCCATACCATGGCCAGATCGCTTCTTTTTCTCCTACAGCCGAAAGAGTATAATCTGGAGCGTTGGAAACTTTAACTTGCCTGTAGCTCTTCTAGAGTATGTGAGAAGGGTTGAAGATGAAGTCTGCAGCCCCATTCCGTAGAACAAATCTTTCTAAAAAAACGTTAACCAGATTAAACAAGTTAAATCATTTAAACTCTGCGTTTAGAGTTGAAGGAAGAATTATTACGCCTCAGGATAAAAGCCGAGGTTCTTTCGCAAGTCACGAGACCGATGGTCTTTCTGATAACAATTTTTATGAGTACATGGAAAGTTCAGACAATGTAGGAGACCGAAAGGATCAACCTAATTGCTACAGGAATGAGGAAACAGTGGAGCACGTTGGACCGAAGCTCTATAGCAAACGACAGATTCAGAAGTGATGCTGTTGTATTCCTGTCGTGAATAAGAAAATGCAATAACGACGTCAAAGATCAGTTTTATGAGAAGCTGAAATTTATCATAACAAAGTGCGCAAGAAAGAACCTCACCATTCTGATTGGAGATCTAAACGCCAAAGTCGGTATAGATAACACCGGATATGATGATATTATGAGACGACACGGACTGGAGAGGAAAACGAAAATGAGGAGAGATTAACAAATCTAAGTGCACTCAAAAAATTGGTTATGGGCGGCACAATATTCCCACACAGACGTATACACGAAGCTACGTGGATCTCACAAGACCACACCACGGAGAACTAGATAGATCATATTCGTATCAATAAAAAAATACGCAAGGAGAATGGAAGATATGAAAACCAGGAGGACAGCTGACATAGCTCCAGATCACAACCTGGTTGTAATCAAGAAGAAACTGAAGCTCACGAAACATTGCGCAACTGTGGGAACAGCATCACAACGGTTCAAAACAGCTTTCCATAGAGATACCGACAAACACAACGAATTCAAGATAACTCAACAACAGGTTCCAAGCCTTACGGGATCTACTGAAGGAAGAAGAAACTACCATGGAGGACAACTAAAAATGAATCAAAGAAACACTAGCTATAACGTGTCAGGATGTTCTGGGCCACAAGAAGCATCATCATAAGGAATGAATTTCCATAGAAACCCTGTACAAGATTCAAGAAAGAAAAAACAAAAATATATAAAGTAACACCAGCTGAGCACGAGCAGACAATGTCAAGGCACAAGCTGAGTACACAGAAGCAAACAAGCACGTGAAGAAGAGCATTCGAGCCGACAAGCAGAAATACGTGGAAGAACTAGCAACGACAGCGGAAAAAGCTGTACGAGAAGGAAATGTGAAACAATTATATGATACAACGAAGAAATATGGTAAACTAGAGAGACCGGTCAAAGTCAACGAAGGCAAGACGATCACGGCGATTCAAGAACGAAGGGGCAGAAGAGTAGAACACTTCGAGGAACTCTTGGATAGACCAGCTCCATTGAATCGACTGGACATCGATGCAGAACACACGGACCTTCCTATAGATGTCAATCCACCAACGATCGAAGAAGTCAGGATGGCCATCAAACAAATCAAAAATGAGACAACAACAGGACCTGACAATATAACGGCTGAATCGGACGTCAAAGTAGCTTCAAACATGCTTCACCTTCTATTCAAGAAGATTTGGGAGGAGGAACAAGTGCCACAGACAGATTGGAAAGAAGGACACCTCATCAAGATCCAAAGAAAGGAGATCTGAGCAAATGTGAAAACTGCAAAGGCATTACACTACTGTCAGTACCAGGAGACGACTTCAACAGAGTGTTACTGAACAGAATGAAAGAGTCAGTAGATGCTCAACTTTGAGATTAACCGTTAGGATCGGTCGTGCAGAGTCCAAATTGCGGCGTCATCATCGGACGATCAGTTAAATGGAACTCGTCATTATACATCAAATTCATCAAGTATGAGAAAGCAATGTGGACAGGAGAACATTATGGGAACTTCTTCGACACAACAGAGTTCCTGAGAAGATCGTCAACATTAAACGGAACTCATACGACGGACTACAGAGCAGAGTCATGCATGGAGGATAGCTGACAGATGCATTCCAAGTAAAGACTGGAGTCAGACAAGGCTGTCTACTCTCTCCCTTCCTCTTTCTTCTGGTGGTTGACTGGATTATGAAGACCTCGACATCCAGGGAAAAGCATGGAGCACAATGGGCAGCCCGCAATCAATTAGACTTCGCACCCGCATTCTCACATCCGATTAAGCGTTGGTACCTGATGAGGGACCGGTATATTCCTTCAATCAATTACTTTGTGCCATTCGCATTGAAGCAACACCGTCATGATTCTGTTGTAGTGGTATTGTTTCCTAATCACAAGATCTTTGAAAGAGAGCGTATAATTACTGAGGAGATTTACATTCAGCATGTAACACTAAGAGAAGGCCAACAGTGGTAGACGCGGCAAAAATCATTCGAAATGGCGCGTCTCGGCCATGACATATCAATAATTTCGGGATCAGGTCTGTTATCATAGTAGCAAAGATAAATGTACCAGTATAGACTTAGACCATAATTCTACACTGTCACCTTTGTTGATTTTGTACTTTGCGTTGTTACGGTCTTCAAGTGGCTGTTAATACATACTGCTACTCCACCTCTTGTTTTGTGAACCATGACGCGTTGAAAAAGTGCCATGTCTTGCAAGCTCTTTTCTTTATCCGCGATGTTGTATGACAGCCATGTCTCAGCTAGGACAATGATCTTCAGGTCAAAGTGAAAAGACAATTTTTATTTGTCCTAGTTTACTCCTTGGTCCTTTAACGTTGCTACGGAGGTACTCAGTGATTCATCTCATCACCTCTTAACCTTCTGTAGCAGCATCTGTCTCCTGGTCTCTATGTAGATTGTTATTTAAAGTAGGATACCTAGTTCTATGGGAACAGGAAGCTTTAGGTATTTTCCCGTATAACGTATCTCGTCAGCTGGACAGATTTACCTGTTTCCTCTGCTGTGGGCTGTTGATCATCGTCAACCGACACCAAGATGCATTTTCTTCGCTCTTTCTACTGCTTCCTTACCGGCATAGGTCGGCTCCTACAATATCTGATGCGACCATGGAGGTTATAACTTGAGTCGCACCACTCTTGAGGGGCCTCATTTAGGCCAACATCATTGGTGCGTATCTTTTCCGGGGGTTTCGTCCTGACTACTACCTACTACCTCACGAAATCCATTAACTACCGTGCCGTTTCGCTCCTGGGTATTTGCTTATCATTTAGTGCCATCTCTTACGGCCCATGGCTTTTCCTGTTTAACTCGGATTTGAGAGTATTACTTAACCAATTATCTCCCGGTCGCTAGTAAAATTTTTCCAGTAACGTGTGTTGAATCCAGTTACTTGCAATGGAGGGTGTTTATCTTTCGCTGTTTTCCTGTCCTCGTACATGAGATATAGCTTGGTTGAAGTTGCACTTTTGCACATCAATGTATAGTATTTGTACTACTTTTCTTATCAGAGGATGGCCTAGTTTCTAATAATCTACTCTTCAACACTAGGACATCAAATAGAATCATAGAGCTTTGCCTAAGGGACCTGTCTTCGATTTATAGCGTTTCGAGAGCTATGATATTACTATTTTTCTTACTAACACCCACCAACTGCTCCTTAGTGCATATAAATACTGAGAGATTTGAAACAGTTGGTAACTTTATTGGTGAATAAGCATGGATTGTGGCTACCATAGTCTCATGATTGGCTGAATCTGTGTTAGACAAATTGGGTATAATCACGAGGGTTAATACTGTTGTTTTCACTTGGATTTTGGACTTCACTTTTGTGAGCCCTGTTGGTATATTTGTAGTGTTATTGGTCATAACCGCACAATCCTTAAAGCTGAACATGAGCATTAGTAGTTTTATTAATTCAGCCGTACTCTTTGTTGGTGCTCAACTAGGAAGTCTTTTATCCACATCAATATATTGCCTCCAACTCCTACATTTCTTAACTTATTTAACAGCCTGTTGTGCCTAACTTTGTCAAAAGCTTTGCTGAAGTTAACGTAGGCTACGTCTTAAGAAAACTTTTGGTCCCTAAGGGTGCACCAGCTTTCACGAGCCACTAATAAGTTAGTGGGACAAGAATAACGTATTGTAAAACCGTTCTGCCATTCCGAAAGGATCCAGTTTTCATCAAAATACTTAAATAGCTCATACCGAATAATCTTTTTTAAGATTTTGACAACAACACTAGTAAGGCTAACGTGTCAGTAATTCTCAGGTTCATGTTTAGTACCTGTTTTGAAGACAGGACGTACAACGGCGTCCTTCCAGTCTTTTGGTAAACGACCCTGGGTTACGGTTAGATTAAAGCATATACTTAAAGGTTTCGCGACGAAGTTAGCTAATTCCTTTAGTAACCTAGGATGCAATTCATCGGGTCCCATAGATTTGCCTATATCAAGCTTATCTAACAGACCAAAGACATCGAGTCCAATAATGGTCACTCTGTCCAGTGTTCGTGTGAAAATATTTGTATGGACTGACGGGCAGGGTGTTTCTATGGCACATACACTGCTAAAGTAGTTTGAGAATACTTGAGCCTTACCAAACTCATCCTCCAGTACTGTCTCCCCATAGTACCGGAATATTTCCTCTTCTTTTTGTCCTTTGGCTTATATACGAATACAAACGTTTAGGATATTCTATGGACTCCTTGACAATTTTCTCTTCGTACAACCTTCTAGACTTACGTAGGGTCGAGGCACAGGTATTCTGAGCTTTTCGATACTGAGATTTTGTCTCATCAGTCCCCAGTAACTTAAACCTATCCCGCATTTTTCTTCTCTGACGGAGAATATGATATGTACACAAAATAAAAATATACAGGACGTTACTAAATTGTCAGGCACTGACATGTTCGAGTTTCTTTTGGTCTACTAACCCACAATTATAAGTAGTTAACAATTCCAGTCATACTTCGAGACGTATATCCAAATAAGGCATATGGTGAGAATATCGATGTGGTCTGTAAACATGAATAGCAAATACATCACAGTTCCATTATCATAATAGTAGGTAATTAAAAACAAGAGACATATGTGTGTAACAGTGTATTTGTGAGAAATAATCGGTGTGTCATGCTATGGGGGATTCAAAAAGAAAACGGGAGGTCCAAAGTCATGAGTTTTTAGCCAACTATTTTAGAGTCACCCATAGTAAACGTTCCAATTATGAGAAGTAACTTACTTTACTTACTTAAGCCTGTTAATCCTCGAGAAGGAGCATAGGCCGCTCACCAGCATTCTTCATCCAACCCTGTCCTGGGAAATCCTTTCCAGCTCTTTCCAGTTCTTATTCATCCCTTTCATATCCGCTTCTGTTTCCCGACGTAATGTGTACTTTGGCCTTCCTCTTTTCCTCTTCCCTTTAGGATTCCAAGTTAGCGCTTGTCTCGTAATGCAGTTTGATGATTTCCTCAATGTATGTCCTATCCATTTCCATCGTCTTTTCCTCATTTTCTCTTCAGCTGGGAGCTGGTTGGTTCTCTCCCACAAACGGCTGTTGCTGATGGTATCCGGCCAATGGATTTTGAGTATCTTGCGTAGACAGCTATTGATATATACTTGTACCTTCTTGATGGTAGTTGTTGTAGTTCTCCAAGTTTCAGCTCCGTACAGTAGAACTGCCTTGACGTTCGTATTGAAGATTGTGACTTTGATATTGGTTGAAAGTTGTTTTGAGTTCCATATGTTCTTTAATTGAAGGAATGCTGTCCTTGCTTTGCCAATCCTCGCTTTTACGTCTGCATCTCAACCTCCTTGTTTGTCGACGATGCTTCCCAGGTATGTGAAGGATTTCACATCTTCCAGAGTTTCGCCATCAAGAGTGATTGGATTGCTGTTCTCCGTGTTGTGCTTGGGGACCTTGGTTTTCCCTTTGTGTATTTTGAGGCCTACTGATGCAGAGACTGCTGCTATGCTGGCTGTCTTTGTCTGCATTTGTTCGTGTGTATTGGATAGGAGGTCTAGGTCATCTGCGAAGTCCAAGTCGTCTAATTGGTTCTGAGCTGTCCATTGTATGCAGTGTTTTCCCTCCGATGTAGAGGTCTTCATAATCCAGTCGACCACCAGAAAAAAGAGGAAGGAAGAGAGTAGACAACCTTGTCTTACTCCGGTCCTCACTTGGAATGCATCTGTCAGCTGTCCTCCATGCACTACTTTGCACTGTAGTCCATCGTGAGTTCCGGATAATGTTGACAATCTTCTCGGGAACTCCGTAGTGTCGAAGAAGTTTCCATAACGTCCTCCTATCT